GCGCCACGATTGGTCTGTTTGGGTGTGAGCGTCGCTTAGCAGCAGCGCACCAGCCTCACCTCGCCCCGCGGCCGACCTCCGCCTCGGCCACCGCAGCCCACCCGGCCGGGTGCAGGTCGCCGGCGGCCGGGCTGCAGGAGGTAGGATGCGGTACGCGTGCGCACACCTTGAACTCTCATTCGCTGCTGCTAAGCGACGCTCACACCCAAACAGACCAATCGTGGCGCGTCTCCTCGGTCAGGTTGTTGAGACTCCGGAATTGCGTGAATCTTAAAGGGCTGGCACCCGCTTGCTCCCCAACAACCCTCGCGCCTGCTGGACTGGAGGCCCACGCGCGAGTCTCACCTCGAGCGATGTGAAGAGACTCCAATGTCCCCTCGATGCCTGGCCCGCGGCGGACAGGACTGTCCTCCAGAGACGCCAGGCCCCGCTGACTGGAGTGACACTCCCTGGGCGTGAGTTCTTCCAGGCAGCGCGGCTGGGCAAGAGGCCCGAGATAGGGGATCCGAAGAGCACGGCCTCCTGCCAGCCTGGCGGAGGTGCCAAAGTCCGATCCCCGAGCGACACACCCTCTCTGTGAGGCTGGAAGGGGAATAGGGTAGCAGAGTTAGACCCTACCTGTTTTGACACGTGCTGAGCACCGCCGTGTATGCCAGTCAGGGTGAACACAGCAAGGCACTCCTGACTGCAGAGACCATGTCGAGAGGAGAGGGTCGGGTCGAGCACCAGGCAGGAAAGCGGGGTCTAAACACGAGTCGTGCTTCTCAAGAGAGTTTACAGGAGCGTTTGGCTTGGACTTGGGACTCAAGGAAAGCTTCCCGGAGTAGCAGTAGGGTGGGCAACGGAGAGCTGGTGTGTTTCAGAGACGCTCACTTGTGCACAGTACTCCGTATGGCTGACAGTGTAGCTCTGTTGATTGAATGCTTCAACTACAAACCCCCGGATCAGCCCTGCCTTCTCTCCAGTCCTTGGCATCGGAATTCCAAGCTCTCCTGCGTTTTGGTCTTAGACCTTGAATCAGTGACTCCCCAGTTCCTGGTTCTCAGTACCTCAGCTTCTTGCTGTTTTACCATCAGCTTCACTGATACTTCATTTTTATTTTATGAGACAGGGTCTGACGTATCCCAAGATACCCTTGAACTCACCAAGCTGACCTTGAACTCAGTATGTGTCCAACGGTGACTCTGAGCTGGAACCTCCTGCATCCATTTCCTGTGTGCTGGGACTACCGATGAGTGTCTCCACGACTGGTCTGTGTGCCGCCAGAGCTAGACAAGAGCTCTGTCTACTGGGCCACATCCCCAGTCCTGGCTTTCCTGATTCTGAGGCCAGGTGCAAGACAGTGAACCCCAGAAGTGGTGCTCCTGGTTCTCAGACTCCATCACCACAAGAACGCATTCTCCCAATAAATCCTCATATAGACAGAAACAGCCTTAATAGCTCTGTCTTTAGGGGGAAGCCTAATGCAGGTACAAACACAGCAGCTGGATAGACAGGTTGCAGTTCGGTGGAGAGAGCTGCACTGAGTGAAGACTTCTAAAAGGCATTTTTCTTGTGGGTGGAAATGGAAACTGGGCTTACGTAACCCCAGACAAATTACAAAATGAACACAAGAAGGCTTGTGGTAGTCTAAGATAGCCTCTGGGCATTCCTGGTATTTGAGTCCTGCCATAGTCCCCTCCCACACTGAGTCAGGGCTGGTCTGTAACAAGCATTGGCAAGCCTAGGTCATAGCATTCACGGAGGAAAACTTGTAGAGAAAGGATGCTGGTGACCTGTCTGCTGTGTGCTGTCTAGATGGAGAAATTTCCTTGCTTGGCCTCTGAAATTCTGGATTTAGCCAGTGTAGTGGCTACACCTGTATTGTCTGTATTCGGGAGGTTGGTACAGAAGCATTGTCATGAGTTTGAGTCTAGTTGTGGTGAAATAGTGAATTCTAGACCAGCTCGACTACAATCTGAGACCCTAGCTTAAAAAAAAAATTCAAGAATGGGGTTGAAGAATTGGCTCAGGAGTTCAGAGCACGAATTACCCCTGAGGAGGACCTGGGCTTGACTCCCAGTTACCCACAGTAGCAAGCTTTCTTTTGGGCTACCAACCAGTTCCTAAATCATGACACAGACAATTTTTTTCTTCTTTTTGGTTTTTCAAGATGGGGTTTCTCTGTGTAACAGCCCAGGCTGTCCTGGAACTCGCTTTGTAGACCAGGCTGTCCTCGAACCACAGAAATCAACCTGATACAGAGACTTAGTAGTTATGAATGCTCAGCCTTCTCTGATGCTTGTCCCATTAGCTCTTCAACTTATTTTAACCTGTTTCTCTTCCCCTACGTTTTGCCTCAGGGCTTTTTACCTTTCTTTCATTCCGTTTGTCCTACTCCGTGTCTGGCTGGCTGGAGGCTGCCTGGGTAACTGGCCCTGGACATCTCCCTCTCTTTCTCCATGGTTCTCTCTCCTCTACTCTCTTGAGCCTAGATTCCTCCTCCTACTTATTCCCTCTGCCTACCAACCCCACCTATCACTCTACTGCCTATCCACCTTTCAACTTTTTATTAGACTAATCAGGTGCCTTAGGCAGGCAAGGTGAAACAGCAACACATCTTTACATAATTAAAGAAATGCGTCATAAACAAATGTTACAGATCTTTGCCTATTAAAGTAATATTTCACAACATTTCCCCCATTTTTGTCTAAATAAAGAGAAAGATTTTAACTTTAACATAGTAAGACTATATACAATAGGAATAATTATCAAGTAAAAATTACATTTACAATATCCAGTCCATTTTTATTTAGCAAATTCAGAGAAATCACTTTATTATCCAATCTATCTTAATGAGTCCAAAGCTCTGCACCTAATTTACCTTTTATCATAACTAAAGAAAATTGTTGGGTGGTGGCGCATACCTTTAATCCCAGCATTTGGGAGACAGAGACAGGTAGATCTCTGTGAGTTCGAGGCCAGCCTGGTCTACAAGAGCAAGTTCCAGGACAGCTAGGGCTGTTACACAAAGAAACCCTGTCTCGAAAAACTAAACAACAAAATAAAAAAAAAATCTGGCTTGAAGCCATTTTCCCAGGCTAATTTGATCGTGTCTGGTACCCTAGGTCCTTGTGTCAACTGCAAAAGGGCCATCAATAGCACACAAAATTCCTGCATCATCCACATGTGCTCTGACTAGGAAGGTATACCCACAGGCAAAAAAGAAAGAAAGAAAAAGAAAATTATAACTATAACTACCTAGTCTTCAACTCCATCAAGGATCCCAGAAGGCTATAGCATTACCTGAGTAAACAGGAAGTGCAGAGCAAATATCTTCCAAAACTGTAGAAAGGTCAGAAACATCTCACTGCCTGGACAATCACCCAAGCTTCCCCTGCAATGCTGGGGCATCTATCATTGGCCTACAGGCCTAGGACATTTGGCAGACCTTTCTGTGAAGTAGCAATTTTGAAGGGCTGTCACACTTTGTCTTGGCAAAGTTCAGCAGTCACTTTCCTTTGTGTCCTGCTTGTCCAGTCTAGACAGCATACTGTCAGCAGTCAAGGCAAAGGCAGGGGCTAGCTTTGCCGCAATGAAAGCAAACTCCATATGGAGGTTCTTCAATGTCCATCGTCCTTTTATGAAGTAGATTGGTGCTACTGGGAGCAGACATGTCTCACAGTCAGGAGAAGCCTTAGGTTAATAAACATCTTAAATGCCATGTTCTGTGGGTCTCTGAAGCATTTGGAGCACATGTATCTATCTAAAATACATCTGTTTAACCTTGAAAACACACTAATATGACTGCAAGCTTAATTATTATAGATGACTAACTACCAACCTGTCTTTCTTAGTTATACATTTCATTTTTCAATGAGCTGCATGCATAAGCACAATATCCTACACAAGAGTAGACATGTACACACAATATAACAAAATAAATTTGTATCAATATACCAAAATCCACACCAATGAATAATATGTGAAGTTAATGGTTATCTTTTTACCCTATATTTCTATATGCCCCCCAAGTGATGACAAACATCCATAAGCCACCAAATGACCAAAAACTACACATCCTGCCTCCTGGGAATGTGGGTATTGTATTCTCCAGGCTGCTTCCTGTTGTCTGACGCAATGACATTTTTAGCAAACCTTGAGAAGGTTGAGACAATGGCCAAGTCCTGGAAAAACTAGTTGTAACATTTGTTGTCTGGTCTCAGAACAGTTCCCATAGTAGAGGGATCAGAATATCTGTCACCTGTCTTGTAGTCTTTTTTGGTTTATTTCTTCATGTCTGTAGCCAAGATTTTCAGGTCTCCCCCAATCAAACCTGATCTCTATTAACCCTGAAGGAATCCACAACCTTTCATTTCCTGTGGAAACAAAAGCATAACCTCTCCCTTATCACCATACATTTTCTGACTTCTGTTTTAAAGTTAAGACATCCCTAAAGTATCTAGGCTGGTTTAACTCAGCAGTCCCTTGTACAACCCAGTGTCTCTCAGTGGCTGTCATTCACTCATAAACAGTCAAAAGATTCAAAGTCAACATAACACCCTATGGGATCCACCTCCCTGTGCATTTCCCATCTTTGTGGGCCTTCCCCCTTTATATCACTTCACTCTCTCTTTAAAGACTTTACTATTTTAAACTATTTTTCCCATTACTGGCTACACTCATTTTTTTCTTTCTTAAGCCAATGTACATTTTTAAGCATACTGTATCCTTTTCCCCATCTGGACCTGTCTTACTGCCTGTCTCTAGCCTTTCCTGACCTGTGAGCCAGATCTTAAACTACTAAGCAGCTTTGCACTGATGGCTGGCTTTACCCCACTTGGGTCATGAAGCCAAGCTTTAGGCCCTGAGGGCCTGGCCAAGAGGTTCCTTCAATTGAGAGCTGCATCTAACTGGGAGCTGCATCAAAACCCCCACCCCCACACCCCCACACCCCTGCAAACTCCCAGAAGTTGGTGTTTTTTACTTAGCTTTTTGTTTCTACCTAACTTGCTGGGCTACTCAAGTGCTTCCTGTACAGCAAGCAGAGCCTCTTAAAGGAGCCTTGTCCATTTTCTTTTCTTTTTTTTTTCAACTTTCTCAGGCCCTATGTGGAAATTTAGGCCCCATGATGGAACACCAAATGTATCAAACTTTCTTTTGGACCTCCAACCAGCTCCCAAATCATGACTTATTATTTGCTATGAATGCTCAGCCTTATCTTACACGTGTCCCACTAGCTCTCATAACTTAGTTTAACCTGTCTCTCTTCATCTGCATTTTGCCTCGGGGATTTTTTTTTCCTTTCTTTCACTCTATGTCCTACTCCTTGTTCGGCTGGTGGCTGCCAGGCCCCTCTCTCTCTCTCTCTCTCTCTCTCTCTCTCTCTCTCTCTCCCTTGTTCTTCTTTCTCTTTTCTCTCAATCCTAAATTCCTCCTCCTTCCTATTCTCTGTCAGCCTGCCTATCCCTCTACTGCCTAGCTATTGGTCATTCGGCTTTTTATGAGACTAACTAGGTGCCTTCGGTAGGCAAAACAACACATCTTTACATAGTTAAACAAATGCAGCATAAAAAAGGCAACACACCTTTACATAATTAAAAAAATATCCCACAACACACAACCATCTGTGACTCCAAAGGATTCAATATCCTCTCTTGACATCCACAGGCATCATACAGGCATTGGTGCATGTACATGTATGCAGACAGGCATGTGGTACATGTACACAATCTAGATAGGCATGTGGTGCGCATACACATATGCAAACAAGCATGTGGTGAGCGTATACGTATACAGACAGGCATGTGGAGAATGTACACATATGTAGACAGGCATGTGGTATGCATACACATATGCAGATAGGCATGTGGCACACATACACATATTCAGACAGGCATGTGGTGCATGTACATATATGCAGACAGGCATGTACTGTGTGTACATATATTCAGACAGGCATGTGGTGCGTGTACATATACTAATACAGACATGTGGTGCACATACACATATACACACAGGCATGTGGTGCATGTACACATATGCAGACAGGTATGTGGTACATGTACACATATGCAGGCAAAGCATTCATACATGTAACATGAGGGCCGGCTTGTTGGGGTATCTGTCCCGCCCAGTACCCCACAACCGGCAAACCCCAAAGAAAATCACACACAGGACTCCATAGGATTATAAACTGATTGGCCCATTAGGTCAGGCTACTTATTAGCTCTTATAACTTATGTTACCCCATTATCCTTATCTACGTTAGCCACATGGCTCAGTACCTTTTCCAGCGGGGTAGCTTACATTTTTCCTCTCCTGTGGTCTGGGCAGAACTGGCAGAGGGAGCTTCCTGCTTCCCAGAATATTCCTGTTCTCATCACCCCACCTCTACTTCCTGTCTGGTTGACCCACCTATACTTCCTGCCTGGCCAATCAGCATTTTATTAAAATATGATTAACAGAATACAGACAATTCTCCCACATCATTTCCCTCTTTTTTTTTTTAACAAAAGAAAATACCCATAGTCCATTTGTTGGAAATGTGGGCATAGTATTTCAGGCTACTTCCTGCTGATTGGGGGCACTGATAATCTTATGGGGACCTAAAGAAAATTTAGAGTTATAATCAAGTCCTGACTGGAGTATCCTGTGAGTCTTGATCATCTCAGGCAGCAGTCTTGAACCTGTTCTGGATGAAGAACTCTGTCATCTGGGCCATCTGTTCCTATCAGAGATTTCTCAGGTGGTCTTCCTTTATCGAACCTGATTTTTCTTAACTCAGAATGAATCCACAGCCTCTCATTTTCTGTGGAAACAAAAGCAAAATCTCTTCTCCAAAGTAACATACCTTTTGACTTCAGTTTTGAAGCCAAGGTATTTTCAAAATATCTATCTTGGATTAATTCAGCAGCATTTATAAGCAAATATCTTTTAGCAGCTGTTGCTTCTTCCTCAGCATTCAAACAATTCAAAGAGAGCATAATAGCATACAGTATCAAGATTCTCTGCGCATTTTCCATCTTTATGTGGTTTTACTTTAACCTCTATTTCTTATATTTTTACTTTGACTTTCAGAGACAGGTTCTCTGTATATCTTTGTCCTGGAATAACTCTGTAGACCAGGCTGTCCTTGAACTCACAGAGATCCAGCTGTCTGTGCCTCCCCAGTGCTGGGCTCAAAGGTGTTTGCTACCACACCTTGAACTCACAGAGACCTGTCTTCTCTGCCTTCCAGGCATTGGGATTAAAGGTGTGTACTACCAGACCCAACTACTCTCTTTCTTTCTTTTTAACTTTAAGAACTTTAACTTTTATCCTGCATATATTTTTAACACATAGTAAACCATTTAGAGGTTTTCTTCATCTTTGAATCTCTCTTCACTGTATATCTTTCTTTTTCTAATCACATGAGTCTTTATGGAGAGGATAAAATCGTGGCTTTGATGGCTAGATCCAGCCCATTCCTTAGCTTTTCAGCCTCGTGGCAGAGGTACCGGTTGTAGCCACCAGAGGTACCGGCTGTAGCCACGTTTATCTCCTCAACTCTATGACGTTTCAAGGTCCTTGACAGCAAGCAAGCTGCAGCATTCTGCTCACAGACCACACTCAGTCAGACTGCCTGCCTGAAAGACTCAGAGTTTGCCCTGGCAGGACTGCTCAGAAAGCCGGCATTTTAAAACAGTGCAGCTTTTTTCCTGCTACGGCTGAAAACCAAAAAGCATGCATTCAGCTTTTCATCAACACCATTTAAGTTTTTCGTGGCAAGACCTCTTAATGAGCTGCAGGGTTTTGCAGCTAAAGCTGAGTCAGGAAGCCTCTCTTAGATGAGAGCACTTGCTTGCCTCTAGCAAGCAGAGCAGACCCGAGAAATTGCTGTGACCAAGAAAACCTGCTTTACTCTATTCTTTCCCGAACTTTCTCAAGCTTTCTGTGGATTCAGTTATCCACGTCTGGGCACCATATGTAGCACAAGGCCCAGCTGGCGCCATCTCTGGGCAGAACTGGCAGAGGGAGCTTCCTGCTTCCCAGAATATTCCTGTTCTCATTGCCCCGCCTCTACTTCCTGTCTGGTTGACCCGCCTCCACTTCCTGCCTGGCCAATTAGCGTTTTATTAAAATACATGATTGACAGAATACAGACAGTTCTCCCGCATCACATACACATAAAATAAGTCTTTAAAAAATGGGTTTTTTGGTTGTTTTATTTTTGTTTTGTTTTTTGCTTTTTGAGACAGAGTTTCTCTGTAATTTTGGATCCTGTCCTGGAACTCACTCTGTAGACCAGGCTGGCCTCGAACTCACAGAATCCACCTGTCTCTGCCTCCCAAGTGCTGGGATTAAAGACATGAGCCACCACCACCACCTGGATTTTAAAAAATAAAAGTAGAGAGGGCATGGTGGCAGATGCCTTTAATTCCAGCACTTGGGAGGCAGAGGCAGGTGTATCTTTGAGTTCAAGGCCAGCCTGGTCTACAGAGTGAGTTACAGGACAACCAGGGCTTTGTTACACAGAGAAACCTAGTCTTGAAAAACAAAAACAAATACTAAACGTAGAAAAATCCAAGCTGGAGTGTGGCTGGTGAGAGAGCATCTGCCTGGAATGCATACCTGAAGCCTTGGGCTCCACCCGAGCGCCATGTAAACACCTGCAGAGCCAGCACTCTAGAGAACCAAGCTCACGACCATCCCTGGTAAGATGGAAGCCGACCTGGGCTATCTGAGACGCTGTCTTAAAACCAAAACCAAATCAACAAAATGAGATCTTTTCAAATGTGGATGGAGTCTTGGGATATTAGTATTTGAGATGCGAGTGATTTGGATAGAGTTCCTTCCGTCTGGTCTACCTGGTGAGTCTCAGGCACTACTGTAGAATGGACTGAGAAGTGGGTAAGATGTGCTACCCATAATCCCAGCCCTCATCTCCCATCACTGACCACTCATGACCACTTCGTCTTCAGAGACTTTCCATTCCCAGCCTCTTCGGCTCACCCCCACAATCTCTATATCCCCACGGACAGCTTCCATGACTAGGTAGTTATAACTTTAGACATTTGATATCTGTCCTCTCCTCCGGCTCTTCTGCCTCCCTCTTGAACTGCTCTGGGGAAATTTCTAGTCCAGTGTCCCTCTCCTTTGTTCTGTTCATTAATTCCCCTAAACTTCCTTCCATATAAGTTGGGGGTCCTGGGGCGATCACATGTATCACACTCTTTCTAACATACTGACACCCGTGCAAGGCATCCTTCTGCCCCACCTACCATCGATCTCCTGGACTGTATGTTCTCCTGCAGCACAGAGCTGTGCTACACACATTGCCAACCTCAGCCAGGTCGTTGATGCCATCCAGCAGGTGCCGAGTTCAGAGCTGAGTCCTGACCATCTTCAGGCTGAGATGTCTCCTCCCCTGGAGGGTTTGTCCTCAATGGCTAGATCAATGTCTGTCCCCTGCACCTGCCCATCTCCTGCTAAGTCATTCCTCCACTGTCTTCACAGGAATTGTTGAGGGAAGAGTGGTGTTAAGCAAGGCCGCCATCCTGCTATTCATGGCTTTACTTCTGCCCCTTCTATCTTCTACAGGATCTCTGGGAAATTCCTATGGGGAGAGAACCTGATGAGAAAACTTGAGAAGCAAGGAGCTCTGAGTCCTGACTCCACTCAGGCAGGTCATCCCAGCTTCTCTCATTGCATCCCCATGCTGGAAAATAAGGTGGAAACTGATGCTTTACAAGCCTGAAGGGGGCTGGGGGTGGGAGGGGTGGGGAATTGGGGCGTGGGGAGGACCTGTTCTAGGGCAGAGAAACGAAGCTGTAGGAACATCTCCACATTAAATGAAGTTCTAAAGCCACATTGCCGAGGCTCAGAGTCTGACAGTCATTTGACCAGTAAGATTCTATAAAATGCATCTATTTTTTTTGTCTGTAAAATGGAGAAAATATTAGTATATTTTAGGGTTGCAAAAAGCAATTAGAACAGTTTCATAACAAAGGTTTACTCATGTGCACGTATGTGTCTGCCACCTATGTGTGGGTGCCCAGGCAGGTCAGAAGAGAGCGTTAGATTTCGTAGAGCTGAAGTTACAGGTGGTTGCGAGCCACCCGACAGGCGTGCTTGGAATCTTGTCCTCTGTAAGAGCAGAGTTTCTTGTTTTTTTTTTTTTTTTTTGATTTTTCGAGACAGGGTTTCTCTGTAGTTTTTGGTGCCTGTCCTGGAACTAGCTCTTGTAGACCAGGCTGGCCTCGAACTCACAGGGATTCGCCTGCCTCTGCCTCCCGAGTGCTGGGATTAAAGGCGTGCGCCACCACCGCCCGGCTAAGAGCAGAGTTTCTTAACCACTGGTCCCTAATATGCAATCTCTTCTTGTCCAGAGAGAATCTAGGCACATTCAAGTATTTTCCAGGCTAAGAGGAAAATTAATATTAGGCTTTCTGGTTTGATCTGGCTGGCAGCAACACCCACAGTTCACGTTGAAACAAGACTTTCTTCAGAAAGATCTTTGGAGCCAGGCTGCAGGAGAGGCGGGTCAACCCGCGGCCATCAATCGTCATCCAAGTCCCGCCCTCAGAATAGCGTCACAGTTTGTATGTCCAATCATAAGTGACTCCCCGCCCCGAGGCGAATGATCGTCATTTTATAGCCCCGCCTCCCTGGGGGCGGGACGGACCCAGCGGCGTCAGCTCACGTCAGTAGCACGCGACGTCAGTAGCTCGCGACGGTGCCGCTCCCGGCTCGGGATTTCGAGCTTACTCGCAGCATGTCGGTCATCTTCGCCCCTGACTGGCTTCGCGGCAAGGCTAAGGTCAACCAGGAGACCATCCAGCGGGTGAGCGTCCCCGAGGAGGGGTCCTGGTGCAGGCGTTTCCTGCAGGGGCCGGACCGCGGTGGAAACAACCTGGATGTGGGGTCGGGATGGGAGCTGGGTCAGATCGGCGTCTGCTCGGGGCCCCCACCTGATGGCACCCTACACTTCGCCCGCCTTTCAGCTCCTGGAGGAGAATGACCAGCTGATCCGCTGTATCGTGGAGTATCAGAACAAGGGCCGAGCGAACGAGTGCGTCCAGTAAGTGCCACCGGGGACGTGCGGCAGTCTGGGTGATGGATCGCCTGTGAGAAAAGGGAGGTGCGGAAGAGGTTACTTCGCCTTGGTGGCGCTGCATGGCCACAAGAGTAAGGCCAGCTGAGACTACATAGCCAGACTCTGTGCCCCCTTGCCCTCTGTACGTTATTCACTATTTACTTGCTACTCAAGAACACAGAGATAGCTTATGGTAGAACCTGGACTTATTCAGACTTTCACATGAGCCCTGCCAGCTGATGACAGGGAAGTTAGGCTCAGATAAGTGTCGTGATCTCTTGATTCTTGGATTTCATGTCCATTCCCAATAAGTAAGTCAGGGCATTTGAGTAACTGGAAGTCAGTCTGTGAGAGATACACATGACCAGCAAAGGAATTTCTATGTTAAACCAAAGGTTAATTCAGTTCGGGCAGAGGTGGCTGGCATGCCTTTAATCCCAGCACTCAGGAGGCAGAGGTAGGCGGGTATAAGAGCTAGTTCCAAAACAGGTTCCAAAGCTACAGAGAATCCCTGTCTCGAAAAAACAAAACAAAACAAAAGTTAATTCAAGATAGAATTAATGTGATTTCTATGGCGAATCAGAATAGGACCCTTTTTTAATTTGGTCCAAGAACTAGCCACCTGCAACCCTCTTTAAGTACCTCAGTGGGACAGCAGAATTTCTATTTTGAGGTGTTTTTGTTTGACTCCAACAAAACAGATGGTTTGATGTTTTACAGTGTTACCCTTTCTCATTTTTAGAAAATTCCTGCCGGCCGCACATTTTTCTTTACTACATTGACTCTTATTCAGTGAAAAGAAAGCAAATCTCCTATCCTGCTTTTTCACATAGTAGAGGCTGCACTTCCCAAGTCTGATTCTTCCCGAATGGCAAGCAATTGAGAATTGCTACAGTCATATGCTCAGCTTGATCATGGAAGGGGCTCCTCTCTCCCTCTCTCTTTCTCTTTCTGTCTGTCTGTCTGTCTATCTGTCTGTCTCTGTCTCTCTCGGCAAGGTTTCTATAGGCCAGGCTGACATCGAACTCAGAGATTCACCTGCCTCTGCCTACCGAGTGTTGGGTGTACAACAGACTTGGAATCGGTGTTTGCTATACTGGGGAGTAAGAAGCACAAAAGATTCCAAATCTCTTGTGGAGCTGACGTTCTAGAGTCTAGAATCCAAAGGGAGGGATGAAAAGTTGGCTCAGAGGTTAAGAGCACTTGTTGCTCTTGCAGAGGACCCAGGTTCAATTCCCAGTAGTAGTGGATCACAACTATCTGTAACTACAGTTGCGGGGGATCTGATGCCCTGTGCACCAGGCATGTATGTGGTGCCATACATACATGCAGGCAAAAGACACACAGAATCCAGAGGGAAGACATGTAATCATAAGTGCTTTGAATGGAATGAAGTAGGGGTATAGTAGAGCACCTTGCCTGTCTGCACAGGAGATTCAGAATTCAGTTTCCAGCAGCGCAGAAATCAAAACAGCATACGTGGGGGGGGGGGTTCAGAGTGCCTCTAATAAGTAGTATTGAGTGAAGCCCTGAGCCCCAGAGGTAGGTAAGGGAGAGTAAAGGTGCTGAGTAACCGCAGGGTATGTCTAGGAGGCCCTGTGTTCAGAACTTAGCAAAGGGAAGACCATAGGAAATGAGCACACAGAAGTGACTGGAGAGCCCCATCACCTAAGACCTCGTAGGAAGGAGATGGCATCTTTAGAGGGGTTTAGAACAGTTATGAAATTCTGCTGTGATCCTTCCAACTCTGGGGAATAAAGCAGGGTTTTGGCCGGGCAGTGGTAGTGCACACCTTTAATCCCAGCACTCGGGAGGCAGAGGCAGTGTGATCTGCAGAGCGAGTTCCAGGACAGGTAGACCATGGCTGAGGAAACTATTGTGTTGTAGTCCCAACAAAGAAGTCATGGTGGCTTGAACTAGAGGGCATCTGTGTGAGTGAAGGAGAATGGATGAGAGTCTAAGGTAAACGAGAAGGTTGCTGAAATGAGGCGTTGTTGGGGAATATTATGTTAAGGTGTGTTACTTTTGTTTATGTTGCATTTGTTTAATTCTGTGAACCTGTGGTGTTACTTGTCTAAAACTTTTGATGATCTAATAAAGAGCTGAACTGTCAATAGTGAGGCAGGAGAAAGGATAGGCGAGCTGGCAGGCAGAGAAATAAATATAGAAGGAGAAATCTTAGAGGAAAGGACGAAGGAGCAAGATACAACAAGAAGAGGAGGATATCAGGGGCCAGCCATCCAGCTGCACAGCCAGATACAGAGTAAGAAGGAAGGAAAAGATATACAGGAATAGAGAAAGATAAAAACCCCAAGGCCAATGATAGATGGGATAATTAGTTAAGAAAAGCTGACAGGAAGCAAGCCAAGCTAAGGCTGGGCATTTGTAACTAAGAATAAGCTTCCATGTGTGATTTATTTGGGAGCTGGGTGGTGGGCCCCCCAAGAGAGCTCAAAATAGTAAAGAGTAAAAAGTAACAAGGTGTGTTGATGGACTTGGGAAGGCAGAGGCAGGTGGGTCAAAAGTAAAATAAATAAATAATAAAAAGAGGGTTTGTGACCTGTGTCATTCAGGGGAATACCATTCCAGCACAGTGAGCCAGGTCTCTTCCAGCTGGTATGGTGAGTAGACATGAGCCTCTAATTCTTGTCTTTCACTCACAGGTACCAGCATGTGTTGCACAGAAACCTCATTTACCTAGCGACCATCGCAGATGCCAACACAAGCAGCCTCACGAAGGCAGTGGAGTAACTCCAGAAGGCTGTTGCCAGGACCGACTGAAGGGGACACATCTTCTGTGAAATAGAGACACAGTTGTCAGGAACTGACCTGCTTAGAACACGGGCGAAACGGCTGTGATTCGTTTGGACTCTGAAGAAAGTTGCTACTAACTCTTCTATATCTTAGTGTAAATATTTTAGTAATAAAACAGATCCCAGGGTAGAACAGAACGGAGGTGATGTGGCAACAGGGCCATTGTCATGGTCAGCAAAATCAATAATCTTAATTCTCTGGTATCGAATGATAACCAGTCTTTCTCTGTCCCACCGCCAGCTCTCAGATGACGACACAGAGACCTGTTAGCTGTGAGAGCTTGGTCTTGGCTGAGGCTTGCTCTTCGCTAGCTCTGCTAACTTAATACGTTTCTATTAATCCTCCTTCTGTCACATGCTGCCCATCCTGCTTCTTCCATGTCCCCTGGCATCTCTTGTGCACCTCATCCTGCTTCCTCCTCTCTGCTGGAAAGTCCTGCCTCTTCCTCCTGCCCAGCTATTACACCAGTCACAGAAATATACCTTCACACGGTGTACAAATATTCCACAACAATGACATTCACTTCTCTTTGTGACATATCCCACATCAGCTGAGGCTGTCTCACAGTCCTATTTTCACATTTAAGTTTCTTTTCAGGGAGAGAGGTTGAAGCAAAAATCCCTGCTTAAGGCTGAATTACACATTAACGAGAATCAAGCAAAGGGTACATTCAGAGCTGAGAAGCAAATAATAATAATAATCATATAATAATTTAATAACCAGCACCAGGCACATCTGGGAAATAGAGGCAGGAGGTCGAGGTCAGCCTGGGCCACATGAGATTCTGAAAAAGGGAAAATGTATTTGTTAGCATATAAAAAATAGGTTTAACAATGACATTTTCTTTCTTTTTGTTTGATTTTCAAGACAGGGTTTCTCTCTAGCATCTGCTGTCCTGGAACTCTCTGTAGACTAGGCTGGCCTTGAACTCACAGAGCGATGACATTTTCATAGTTACACATAATGTATTTTGATCCTATTCACTTCTATTACTCTTGTTTGACCCCTTGCTACTTAAAGTGTGATCTACAACATGGATGCAATTGAAAGCTATTTTGCTTTTGTGCTGTGAAACAGCCATGAAGGACAGACAGCAAATGTATCAGTTTGCCCTCTGTTGCAGTGATACAACACCGTGACAAAAAGCAGCTTGTGGAGGAAAGAGTTTATTTGGTTTAAACATCCCAGTCACAGTCCATCGTGAAGAGAAGTGAGGGTGAGAATCTGAGGGCAGGAACTGAAGCAGAGCCTCTAGAAGGCGGGTTTACTGGCTTACTCTCTTGTTGGAAAGACTGAAAATCTGTTAGTTGCTCAGCCCCAGAAGCTGACTATCTCAGCAATCCCAATCACACACTGGAGACCTGGAAGATTCCTTGACAGCTGCTGGTCTTATCTATGTTGGAATCCCAAATAAATTGGTTTAATATCAGCTAGCAAAGGACAGATGAACTTACCAAAGACAGTGTAAGCAAGCAAAAGTCAAAGTCTCCTTCTATCTGGAAACAGAAAAGTATGACTCAGATTTGGGATGAATCTTCTTTTGAATAATCCAATCAAATCCCTCAACGGAGTGCCCAGCGGCTTGGATTTTGGTTGGTTCCGGTTGCAATCAAGTTGATAACCAAAGCAGACCATCAGATGATTCTACAGTCAGGAGAGACTATCAGTCACCAGACTGACAATGTAGAATAGAGGCGTCCAGAGTAGGGGTGAAGGGAGGAGGGAGAAGGTAACATGGCTACACCATAAGGTGAATTACTTCATACCACTGAACTGTACTTACAAATGTTAATAATATAACAGGCTTTTACAATTTTATAAAACAGTTTCATAAGAATGACGGTGTGTCACTGGTAATCATGTGTTGTCATAAAGCCAAGTAATTACGGTTGAAAAAGTTTTCAACAAATGGCCATGGAACACAGACCTCCAAGATTTGAGTCCCACCCTACCTAACACAGGAAGACTGGATTAATTTATTACGTAATATTTTTATTGATTATTTGTAAGTTTCATGTAATCTGAGCACATTCACATCCAACCCTCCCAGGTCTGTCCCTAAACCTTGTGACTGTCCCCAAAACAGAAGAAGAAGAAAAAAAAAAGTTCAATTTTGTGTTGCTCATATACTCGCTGGAGCATGGTCAAACTCTCAGTGGCCAGCCCTTTAAGGAAGACTACGTCCTTGCCCACCCACCCCCTCCAGAAGCCATCAGCTGTGAAGAGCTACACTTCAGCATCTTTACCACAATTTTTAATGGTTCTTTGAAGACTGAATTGAAACATAAAAGGAGAAACTTAAATTCGCAGATGACAACAGGAGAAAGTTTTCATGAATTTGAAACCAATATATCCATTTTTTCCTTCTCTCCATTTCTCTGTCCTCTCTCCCTCCTCGCTTCCCTACTCCCTTCCATGTTGTAAATGGAACCCAGTATGTCACACACTCTAAGCAAGTTCTGTACCACTGAGCTATATCCCCAGCCTCCGGGAACTCCTGAGTGCAGAAGCTCAAACTGGAAGGAAACCAGGGATCACCTGAGCATCATAATAAACTCTAGCAGAGGCATCCTTCAGGGTCTGGCCCTCATAAATGCAGTTCTTAGTGCTCCACAAGGAAGCCTCCCTTTGCAACAAGTAGAGACTGGCAGAAAACCACAACCCTTCAAAATGCAGAATCCAACCTCAAAATACCTACAAAACAACTCCCACACCTGATGCTCAGGGAACGTTGCCCAAGAGAGGAGAGACTAAAAGAGAATCAAATGGAGTTTGTTGTGAGATTGTCTCCTAATAATGTCAGAAGCTACACCCATAGATCTCACCAACAAGACTGCTTAGACATGAGCTGAACAGGGACAACAGCAGAATGCCAAGCTGGACAGGGGACAGCCCATGAGTCCTCAGCCCCACACAAAGCTACAGGTAACTAAGGAATGCTGGGTGGGAGAAATCGGCTTCCTCAGGGAAGAACACACTAAACCAAGTGGTCATCCAATGCCAAATGGTCAGCCCTGAAAACATACATGCAAGTAACATACAGACTGAGCAGGCTGTATTTAAGGATATATATGTACATTCATATACATACATATATTTAGCAGCAGTTAATGGAAAAAGAAGTCATGAATTTGGTGAGAACAAAGGCTATATGGAAGGGCTTGGAGGGAGGAAAGAAGTTGAATGTGGTATAAACTATAGTTCCCCCAAATAAAAGAAATAATTTTTAAAATGTTATATATATATATATAAATGTATACAATATTCTGTTGTGTGTATGCCTTCAGGCCAGAAGAGTGCACCAGACCTCATTACAGATGGTTGTGAGCCACCATGTGGTTGCTGGGAATTGAACTCAGGACCTTTGGAAGAACAGGCAATGCTCTTAACCTCTGAGCCATCTCTCCAGCCCCAAGAAATAATTTATTTATTTATTATGTATATAATATTCTGTCTGTGTGTATGCCTGCAAGCCAGAAGAGGGCACCAGACCCCATTAAAGATGGTTGTGAGCCACCATGTAGTTGCTGGGAATTGAACTCAGGACCTTTGGAAGATCAGGCAATGCTCTTAACCTCTGAGCCATCTCTCCAGCCCCCCAAGAAATAATTTTTAAACTAACAAAAATATTATAAAACTATTTTAATAACTTCCAGCTCTAGGGAATAACATTTTTGTTTTTGTTGATAAAAGAATTAAGAAAAAAAAATCTTTGGCAGAAGACAGTCAAAAGCAACAAAATGCCAAGGCCAAGATTGTGAGAAAGTATTTGCCATCATATACAACAGAATTACACATTTCTGTCTTCCTAACAAAGCATTTGTACCCTGAGCTCGTCCAGTTCTCATAGACAAGGAACTGGATTTAAAAGGTTTGTGACAAGGATTGCAAAATCCTGGAAGTGACACTTGACAAAAGAGGCAGAATGACCAGTAAGGACTGAAACAGCTGTCCCTCTGTATATTTATTTGTTTCACATTTAGTATGTGTGTGCTGGGAATCTTCTGGAACTGTTACAGATGTGGTGAGCCGCCTGATGTGGGTGCTGGAAGCTGAACCCAGGTCTTCTGCAAGAACAGTAAGCACTCCTTTCTATTTTTATATACTTATTTATCTTTTTTGATTTATCTCTACACAGCCCAGGCTGTCCTGGAACTCACAGAGATCCGCCTGCCTCTGCCTCCCGAGTGTGGGATTAAAGGCGTGCGCCACCACCGCCCAGCACCCGAGAGTCTTTTAACTCGAGACCCACACCGTAAGGACACTTATTGAAGCCCGTCTTATTTATCCACCCGGAGGGAGAGAACTAGCCAAGTGCCACGTCGGCTCCGGACACCTCCACTTCACTACCGCGTTCGTTTCCCCGGCCCGACGACCTGAACTCTCGCGATTCCGGTCGAGCCGCGGTTGACAGCAGGCACACGTCTGCGGGCTTGGGATTGGGCCGCTGGCTCGGAGGGGCGGGGCGCGGAGGGACTCTCGCGAGCGTTGACTCCAGTTTCGCGAGCCTTGGCGTGGCGCTGGGCGGCTGGCCTCGGCCCTGAGGAGGTGGCGTTCCGTTGGTGACGTTGGGCTCCGGCGGCGCCGGCAGGGCGTTCTCCTGCGCTGACCCGGAGCTGTGCGGCCAGGTAAGGAGCTCAACCGGAGTGCGGGCGGCCGGGGAGGGAGGGCAGG